GTGTGGGGCGGGGGGGGGGGGGGGGGGTGTGCATTGCAAAATCCAGAGGCCCCTGCTCTGATGCAGAGATGCTTCTGTGGCCCCACAGCCCAGCCGAAAGGGAAGGGACATGTCATACAAATCTTCAGGGTGTTTATTGTCAGGATAGAAATTTCTTTATATAAAAGAAGTGTTTAAAAATAGCACTACCCTGCTCTCAAAATGAAATATATATATATATATACACATACACACACACATAGATATTTATAGAAAGAATTATTACCATTTTGCTATGTAATAAAAAAACCAAACAAGATAATGACTGATTCCCAAACAATTCTGCCAAAATGGAAGCAAGGGGATCTGCCGATTCCTGCCGCCCGCCGTCCCATGGGTGCTCACCTGAGCACCATGCCGGGAGCTGGCCGGGCGGCACACATCCATCTGCACTGCCTGCGGTGCCCGGCTCTCCCTGCCCCGCCACTTGGCAGCAGACGCTGAGATAGCAGAAGCTCTCAGGGTGCAATCACTGTAGGGTTTGGGTTTTTTTTTTTTCTCTTGCAAAGCAGCTTGATGGGTGCTGGGGGCCGGAGGGGCTGGGCAGGGGCTGGCTCATCCCAGCCCCTTTGGGAAAAGGCTGGGTGTCACATCTCCTTGTTCAAAGCCCAGCCTGCCCATGTAGACATTCCACCTCATCCCAGACCTGCCAGTATGGAGGAAGGAGGCAACAGCAAAGGCTGAACCCCTTGGCTTCGCAGCAGGGGTTTTTGCTCAAGTTATTTTTTGGGGGTTTTTTAGTACTTTTTTAAAAACACACTCCACATCCCCCTTGGGATTTTGTGATACAAGAACAAACACTGATGCTTTACAATAACCTAGCAATAACAATGCCATGTAGCTACTGTAGGTCCCTGTGCCCCATCCGAGCGCTGCAGCCCTCTGCAAGGATCACTTCTTGTTGACAATCTGCTTTTCCAAGTCTTCAAGTCTGGCCATCATCTGAGCAAGTGAACGTGCTAAGGAAACAGCGTGAGCCAGTCTGGTGTGTAAAGGCCTTTTTCCCTTTGAAGGAGCCTAAATTTTCCCCGCTCCCATTTATCCATCCCTCCCTTCCCTGGGTGCAGTCTGTCCCCAGGCTGCCCTGCACCCTGGCCAACCCAGGCATCACCCCAAAGGATATTTTTCTCGGTCAGGCTCTGCAGGATGGCCACGGTGTTTGTCTGGAACTGCACCAGCGCCTCGCACTCACATGGGCTGCGGATCTCCATCTCCCCTTTGCCCTCCTCTGTGACCACGGAGGTTTGGGTGCAGTCAGAGCCACAGCCCCACAGTGCCCGGCTCTCCCTTGCTCCCACACAGCACAAATCCCTTGTCGCTGCAGCCACCCGCCAGGGCCAGATCTGAGCTTTCTTCCAGCCTCACTCCTTTTCACCAGGCTGCATCCCTGCAAGCCCAGCAAGCTCACCACCAGGCATCCTGCCAGGCATCCCATTGGGCATCCTGCCGGGCATCCCGCCAGGCATCCTGTGCACACGATCACGGCATGCTGAGGACAGCCGGTGCTGAGCTTCACTTTGCCTTCAAGCCAGGCTGGCAAGGGGGTACACTGACCCAATGTCTGCAGCCCCACAGGAGCTCCCAGGGGTCCCAAGAGCACGGGGCAGCCCCAGCCTGCCCCAGGGCAGGGAGAACCCCCACGTAACCCAGCATGGTCCTCCTCCACCCAGCAGCAACAGAAGTGCAGGTCTGGATGAGGAGATGGGCCACCCTTGGAGCTGGGGCAGCATCCCTCCAGGCAGGGCGAGACCCCAGACTCTGCCTGTGCAATGGCACTGGAGCGGATGCTCATACACCATCCTTTTTACATTAAACCTCCCAGCTCCACCTCCTCCTCTTCCAAATGCCTCCCTGAGACCCACCTCTATACCCACAACAGCCTGATGAGATCCAGAGACACCCTAGGCTCACACTAGCCCAGCTTGGCCCTGGCGCACGAGAAACAGGGTGACAGACACACAAACCAGAGATGGGCTCCCTCCAGCTCAGGACTGAGCCCCCAGCACAGTCAGGGCTGGAGCCACCCACCTGGGCAGATGTTCAGCTTGAAGTTTTCCACGAGGTGGGTCATGGTGGTGAAGTCTGCTGAGTAGGAGAAGTGCTGCTCCACCGGGTCAGAGGCGATCGCTCTCAGCTCCTCTTCTACAGCCTTGCCAACGCCCACGGCGAACATGACGATCCCTGTGCAGCAAAGACGGATCGTGAGCACTGCACCAGCCACCCTGCACCAAGCAGCCCCAAGGCCAGAGGGAGCAAAGCCACGGATGTAGGATTTTCCCTGGGCAGCGAGTAGGAGAAGTGCTGCTCCACCGGGTCAGAGGCGATCGCTCTCAGCTCCTCTTCTACAGCCTTGCCAACGCCCACGGCGAACATGACGATCCCTGTGCAGCAAAGACGGATCGTGAGCACTGCACCAGCCACCCTGCACCAAGCAGCCCCAAGGCCAGAGGGAGCAAAGCCACGGATGTAGGATTTTCCCTGGGCAGCCAAGGATGCAGGATTTCCACCGGGCTTCCCAACTACACAGCAGGATAAGGACAGGCAGGAGCGCGGCACCACTGCTGTGGTGCAGGATGCTGCACAAATGATGCTACTCAGAGCACCCTGCAACCACAGCAGGGCCACATCTGCCCCGCAGACCTGGGTGATGCAGCACCCCAAAGCTGGATGCTGCAGCCTCTCCCAGAGCCAGCCACCCCGAGGAACTATCCAAAGCATTGCAATTTGGGGTTTCCGAGCCCCCGGCACCTGATTCCTTTGCTCTCCTGGCCCATTCGGAGATGTCATCCTGGGAGCGCCCGTCCGTGAAGACGAGACCAATTCTGGGCACGTTGTGGGAGAGAGGTCTGGCACCTTCCAGCTCAGAGAAGCTGTGCTCCACCATGTGCTTGAGGGCAAGGCCCGTCATGGTGCCTTTCTCCATGTACTCCACCTCCATCACTGCCTTCTTGATCTCATCCGCGCTGTGGTACTTGTTGAGGGGGAACTCGGTGCGGACGCGGCTGGAGTACTGCCCCAGCCCCACCCGCGTGCCATGAGGGGACACCTCCAGCAGGTCCACGATGCGGTTCACAAACTGCTTCACCAGCTCGAAGTTTTGGGGACGAACGCTCTTGGAGCCATCGATCACCATCACCAGGTCGACATGCCCAGCCCCGCACTCTGGAGGCACAGGGGGAAGATGAGAAGGGACCAGCCCGGGCTGGGGGGACCGTTGGGGTGGAGATGCCCAGGGCTGGGGCAGAGCTGCTGGGCTTCAGGACACCACATGGACCCCCTGGACCTGCAGCCAGGTGAGGCCAGGAAGCAAGGCAAAGCGTGCACAGTGGCCTCAGCCCAAAAACCTCCACTGCCACCCCAGCATCCCCTGAAAGTCTTTCCTAGGTCTCCCTCTTCCTGAACCTTTCCTCAAAGCTCCTGTTGCACCTTCTGGGCCATGTCTCTGAGGACACAAGCCTGCATCCATCCCCACAGCAGCCGAGGCGCTCCCCCCAAGCCCAGCCAGCTCTCCATCCTCCTTCCAACCCAGCTCAAAGTCCCACTTAGACGCCCAGCCTAGTTTCAGGTAAGTCCTCGCCAGGAGCACAAAGCCCAGACAAGAGGGATGCCAAGAGCCGTGCCCCGGTACTCACTGCTGCACGCCTTGCCGTCAGCCTGGAGCTGCTGGCCCTCGGGACACATGCAGCGGTAGGAGCCCTCTGTGCTCACACACTTGAACTCACATCCGTGATCCACCCCGTTGCAGAGGTCGGTGGCTGGAAGACAAGCCAAGGGCACGGGGTTATCCCTATCCAGGCAGGGTAGCCCAGGAACAGCCCTTCCCCTGGGGACCGGGCAGGACAAGGAATCTGCCATACACTGCAGCCTGTGCCGCGATGCCACGGCAGGACGTACCCCTGCAGGACCTGCTGTCGGGCTGCAGCGTGAACCCGCTGCGGCAGCGGCAGTAGTGCCCGTTGGGGATGCTCACGCACTCGTGCTGGCAGCTGTGGTTTCCGAAGCTGCAGTAATCGATCACTGGTGAGAGAAGGAGAGGGGTGGGCAGAAAGGGAAAGACAAGTGAAGAAGAGGGAGAGCGAGAAGCCATTGAAGAGGGGACAGGAAAGGAGGGACACTTACTACTGCAGCTCCTTTTGTCCTGGTTGAGGTAGTAACCCACGCGGCAGCGGCATGAGTACGACCCACGAGCACTGACACATTGGTGCTGACAGCCGTGTCTCCCGTCTGCACACATATCAATGGCTGTGGGGGAACAGGACACCCGTCACCCTCCTGTCCCGGTCCCCCTGGGGCCACCGAGCAGAGATTGCTCCAGGGCCTCAAGGAAGCTCCCAGCACCCTGAGACAAGAAGTCGTCCCAGGGCGGTGGCCAGAACCAACTAATACAGCTTTGCACTCAAAATACAGGGCCAAAACACCGTGCACTTGGGCTGGGATGTGCATCGTCTGGTACCCACTGCCTGGAGCTCCCTCAGGTGACAGGCAGCTGGTTGTGCCCACATGAGCCCCAAGTGTCCCATACCAGAGAGGTGACCAGGATTTAGCAATGCTGAGCACTATCCACAGCCGTTACAGACCCGGGAGGTTGCGTGCCCAGTGAACGGAGCGCCCAGGCTGCTGCTGGCCTTGCAGGGTCCTCTGCCATGTTTCAGCTTCCTTTCATGAAACCTGTACCTACAAGTCCTCTGTGAGAGTTAGAATAAAAAAAGGGTTTTTACGGGAACAGGTCTTTCCATCCACGTTGAGCCTGTAGCCCGGGTTGCACTCGCAGTAGAAGGAGCCGGGGGTGCTGACGCAGCTGTGCTGGCAGCCATGCTCCTGCTCCACGCACATGTCCACCCCTGCAAGACAGAACAGGCATCGGAGCAGCCCACAGGTACACCAGATGCACGGGGACCCCCGCTCTGGCACATGCCCTGTCCCGGCAGCTGAAGCCACCAGGATGACCCACATGGCCCCAGCCCTTCCAGCCCCAGCACTCACCCACTGATTTCCGGTGCACAGACACAGACATAGTGCGGGGCAGGTTTCTGAACTGCCTCGGCTTTCTGATCTACCGGAGTGCTACATCAACACTCGATATTAATCGATACTGTCGCTAGCTTGAGCTGAGTAAGCAAAAGCTTGAGCTCAGACGGCACATGCTGATGGAGCCAGGTCTGCATGTCTGTGCGGCCAGGAGCCTACAGAGTCAGCTGGGGAGCGGGCACCAGGCAGGGCAGGCACCAGGCAGGGCAGGAACCAGGCAGGGCAGGCACCAGGCAGGGCAGGCACCAGGCAAGGCGTTGCAAGGCATCGAGCGCATGAGCCCATCAGGGCCCCGGGGGGCAGTGTCTGGTCAGCCCCAGACCCCCGCCCCAGCAAGTGGGGACTCACCACGGCACTAACGCAGCCCTGCAGGCACGCACGAGCCCCTAGCAAGGAAACGCTGCCTGAATGATGCTGGCAGCCGCCTTCTGCCCTTTGACAGATGCTGAAGCATGTGAGCAAGGTCTTGCCAGCCCACTGCAGTGCCAGGTCTCTGGCAAAGCCCACCAGCATGGCAGGGGACAGACCGGTCCCAGCCTGCAAGCTCCCGACCTGTGCCAGCATGGCCGTGGTGCAAACCAGCCTCCCGGCTCCCAGCCAAGACTGGCCGGATGCTCCAGAGCAGCACCATGCGGCCAGGGGTTTATTAAACACAAACGGGCATGCAGCAGATGCTACGCACGTGTCTGCATAGGAAGAGACCCTGCTACAGCCACATGGAAATGTATACGGGGCTCTGGGACACGTCACCCTGTCACACCCAGGGAAACCAGCTCCACATTTCCGGCTCTTTAATATTCCCACCACTGCTGCCCTGACGGCCTGGCTTGGGGCAGAGCTACCAGGCATGGGTGAAGAAAAGCGCTTGCTTGCAATGCTTTCAAAGCTCCTTATCTCACCCAGGAAAGGTGAGCAAGAGGAAAGGTGAGCAAGAGGAAAGACCACCTGTCCCAGCACCTCATCGGGTCCATGCTGCTCCTAGCAAGGGCAGCCACCCCAAACACCCCTCTGAAGGTCATTTTTTAGCCTGGGTGAGGAGCAAGCACCAGGGTCACCCTTGCCACCCCGCAGCTGTGGCTCTCACCCACCGCAGAGCTTGTCCTGGAACTGCTTCCCGAACTGCTGGATGAGCTCAAAGGACTCCACCAGGAAGACGTGCTCCTCCAGCGGCGGCGAGGCCATGGCCCGCAGCGAGTTCATGTCTGCCCGCTGGATGCCCACAGCGTAGATCTCGATGCCAGCGTTCCGGGCCTGGGTGGACACCTCAGTGACACGATCCTGGGGCCGTCCATCCGTCACGATAATGGCGATGCGGGGGATCTTCTTGTGCAGAGGGCGCGCGCCCTCCTGCGTGGTGAAGGCCACGTTCATAGCGTACTGGATGGCCAGCCCCGTCATGGTGCCCTGGGCCAGTGGGATGATGCTGTTGATGGCCTTCTCCATGTCTGCCCGTGTGAAGAAGGTCTTGAGGGAGAAGATGTTCTGCACCTGGCTGGAGTACTGGATCACCCCCACCCGTGTGGCGTTGGGGCCCACGTCCAGGTTGCCAATGATGTCCATCATGAACCGCCGCATGGTCTCAAACTCAAAGGGGCGCACGCTGCGGGAGCTGTCGATCACAAACACAATGTCCAGGGGACCTGTCCTGCACTTCAGGGCTGGAAGGCGACAAAGAGATGGTTCAGCTTCACAGCTGCCTGTGGGGAACTTCTGTTCCCCCACAACTCCAGCTTCCCCTGGTTTTTACTGCATTTTGCTAGTTTCTGCCTAAAACCAGGGCTTGCTTGGTTGTGTTTTTTTTAAGAGCAGAAAATGAGACAGTGAAAAGCACAGCTAAGGGCACGCACATGGCGGGGACTGAGCCAAAGAGCCTCTCTTGGACATATGGGTGCAACTTCCAGTGCAAACCAGGAGAATGTTTAGCAAGTGAAATGCCAATGAACACATTTTGCTTGGCTTGTGTGTACCAAGCCTGGGAGAATTTGGCCCTAATAGTAAGCAAACACTTTGAGTCCCTTTGGGATGATGCCCAGACCTGGGCTGTCATCTCAACTGCTCTGAAGGTCTCCGAGACATACTCGGCTCCTTTTTCTGTTTGATGCCTTCACTGTTTTTAAACTGGAATTGATTTAGCTCCCTCTGCCCTGGGAGGAGAGAGGCCACTGCCCCTAGGTTTGCTTTGTGTGTCCCCCCCCCAGGAGACCCATGCAGGGAGAGGGTTCCCCTCGTGCCTGTGCCTCCTGCTGAGGTCGGAGCCTGCGGGGACAAGCCCTGAGCTGGGCCGCGTCAAAGCTGAGGATGTGCCTGAAGCAAGTGGCACCAGACCCACCATGCTGGGGCCAGGCTCAGCTCCTGCTCCCCTGGGCAGCGCTCGGAAGTTCGGGTCCCATGCCTGGGGGGATCCTCCATCCTCCTGTGGATGCCCCCAGAGAAGAAGCATCAGTTCCCCCCCACCTCAAGCAGCAAGCCATCCTCCAAGGGCTTCACTGCCCTGACAGACTCACTTCTCTCTCCTCCAGGCAATTCCCACCAGCCAGGACTCACCTGCAGGTTTTGGTCTGGCTTCGAGCGTTGTCAGGAGAAGCAGGAGGAGAAGGGCAACGGGCAGGAGCTTCATCATGGCTCTGCGAGACCACATGGCTCTGGGGCTGGGGGGACTCGCTGTGGGGACAAGATGACATTGCAACCAGTGCTGAGGATAGGCTGAGCTCCCCTGCAGTGGGTGTCCCCAGGCAGTGCTAAAATCCCTGAGCAGCAAGCAGTTGTCACAGATCCATCCCCAAACTTCTCTAAACCCACGTGGGACTTTTCCCATTGGAGGACTGGCAGTCTCAGCACAGCTAAATTTCATTACAGTAGAAACGATTTGCCAAAGGGTCTGATTTTCTGCTCTGGGTGGAGCTGGCCATCGAACAAGCCTTATTTTCACTTGCAAACCAGGCGGATGGGATGTTCAGCCAAATGCATTTTCACTGGCTGTGTGGCTGCTCTCCACAGCCAGCCGGAGAGTGGGAAAGCTGCACCCAGGGATGCGGAGCACCAGCCCTCCTGACACTCCCTCTGCACGGCAATGTGCTGGGAAGAGAAGCCCCCAGATGAAACTCCAGCACAGACAAAACCTGCTCAGAAGTCTCTCAAAGTCACTGCCAAAGACCATTTTTCCAAGAAGCTCCACAAATTTATTCTCTGCCTTTTTCCAAACTGCCTTTGGAGACCAGAAGCCTCCGCAGGCACAAGGTGTAACGGTGCCTGTGCAGATGGGCTTCCATCTGTCCCCCCCCACCCGAGGCAGGGTGCTGGGTGAAGCACTGCCAGCCTGCTGCTCTCCTTCTCTGCATCACCCCAGGGGACCCCACCACTCTGTCACCAGCACTTTGCAGCTCTTCCCATCCTGCTGGCTTTGGCGAGGGATGCTCTGCACCCCGACAGTTTTTTCCATGTGTTTGAGGTGGGATAGTTGGGGGAAAAGATATTTAGTCAGGTTACCCAAAACCTCAGCTTGTCACTTGTCTCCCTCCCTGCCCATCTCTGTGCTGCCCTGCCTTACCTTTCCCTGCCCTTGCCTAGCTCCTGCAGTGACACGGATTTATTTATTTTTATTCCAGCTCTGGTTGGAAACCCAAGGTGCTGGCAGGGGAAATGCCACGGTTAACACAGCTTCCCCCAGGAGACATGCAGCACTGCGACCAGGCACAGATACTGGAAGGGTGCTTTTTAAAAAAAAAGCACACAGAAATTCATTTTATCGGTAGTTATCAGCCTATATTTATTTAGCCCCAGGAGGTCTCAGTTGTAATTCATCACCAGGGTTGCCACTTAATTGCTCAGTGGTTACATGCAGCCCTGAACCTAATGTATTTGATAGCAGTGACGCTGATAATAGGTTTCACAGCTGCATCTTAAAATTGTGTCCAGACTCAGTGTTCACACCTGAAAAACTATACTGAAGAATTGGAAGGACAGAAAAGGGCTACAAGAGGAAACTGGGATCCAGCATACCAGTCTCAAAGCAGCAGACACCGCCTTTACCTGGGGAGCACGAGCAGCCCAGCCAGCCCGGGAGGCAGCAGCTCCACGGCAGAGGGGCCGGTGGGATCACCCCGGGCTGCAGGGCCGAGGGGAGGCTGCAGCTCGGCAGGCGCTGTCTAGGAAGCCATGGGGCTGAGGTGAGCATCACTTTGTAGCCCACTGTCAGCAGCACCAGCCAGGAGCGTGCGGGTGCCTGTGCCCCCTCACAAGAGCACTATGTGCAAGCAGAGAAGCAAACAGCCGTCCCTATCACAGCTTCATTTCCCCATTTGTTTAGCTGATTCTCTTTCCAGTGATGCTTTTTTATTTTTGGGAGAAAGCACTCACTAACCACTGAATATTTTGGGGACAGCTGTGCCACCTATAACGTCTCCACAGCTCTCCAAGCCTCCCTGCAATGGCAGGCTGGCACGCAGCCTGCGTCTCGCAGCATCCAGATAGCTTCAAAGCCAGCCCGGAGAGAGGAATGAGCTCTCGGGCCAGGAACCAAGGAGGAGAAAACCAGTTCACGACTGATCTATTTTTAACAGCATCTCAGCTTTGTATGAAGTCTTGGCACTCCCCACGGCTGGAGGGGCTGATGCTGCCTGGACAGGGCAGGGCACGGCGGCTCAGCCATACATCCAGCACTGGTCCTGGCAGCAGAGACCCAGCCTGGGACAGTGTCCCAGTCCCCAATCCAATATAGCACCCAGCCCTGCTGCAGCAGCAAGGCTGACGGGGACATGGAAGCAAAGCTGATGGGACAGACACCCCCGAGGATTTCTACCACTATTCCCTG